TGACGTTATTTGTATTAGTGTCTGATTCGTTATCAATGAGAATTGTCTCTTCGGTATAATTTTTTCGGTAATTCCGCGCAATGAGAATGCGCAGATATTTGAACAATAATGGAACGCTAATTTTGGACTTTCGCTTTCAACTCATGAATGCTCGAACTCTATAATATTATATTAAAATTTAAGAGTCTATCTTTTAGGATGGATTCGAAGTTATCTGTATTCATATTGTTCACATCCTGCTGTGCTCGTTAAATCATAGAGAATCATACAAATATCAAAGATTAGATGATCTCATTTAGCACCAGCCAGATGATCGAAAACGAGGAAAGCAAATGATCTCAGAATTTAGGGCAACTGCTTGAGCGACAGGGTCACTCAAGCAGTCGATAGCAAGAGGTGCGCGGCGTGGCGCTGCTGCCACGAGACTCTCTTTGACTACACAGCACACTAAGAATAAGAATAAGACGGGACGAGAAGCGCGAGCCTTCCGGAGGGGAGGAGCGCGCTCTTCCGTTGAGCCGCGAGGGTGCTACCGCTGGAAACAGGAATCATGAGAGACGCCGTGCACCCTCAGACGCCTCGTTACCCGAGTCCTCGATGCGAGGCGAGCCCGTTACTTCTGGACACGTCTCATTTAATTGGGCTACTATCGAGGAAACTGTTAATCAAGCAGATATTACTTTTTACGCTATGCTTCCTGTACCTATCCACGAACTAGTATGCTTGCAATTTTCGTACGTGCACGCGTCTGACGTTACTGTAAGATTACCCGGTGAAATTTTCATATAAGCCCGTTAGTAAACGGCTAGTAAACGGCTAGTAAACGGCTAGTAAACGGCTAGTAAACGAGATCCGAATTTGTGAGTTTGACAGATTGAAAAATTGGTAGGCGCTAACGTATTTCACGGATTGCCAGCTTGACACTATCACTTTAAGATTCGTTTAGCTTCTCGATTTCGTTCTCCGAATGTCAGTCTCTAATTAGTCGTATTAGAATCGAAGCTGAAGACTGTGGCGCATAGCATATAATTCGTAAAAATTGCGTCCCGTTGCTGCAGCGATGTAGAAATGAAGTGGGCGTCCTAGGGACCAAACAGAGGGTGGTGGGTGGCCCTTGACACGTCATCGCGGTAACGAAGTAGTGACGTACATGCTAGGACACTTAATTAATTCTGATTAACCCATAATCACGTAGTGGTTTCGCGGAGGCAGCCGAGGTACTGGAGCCGCATCCAATTTGTCCCAGAGACTATTAATTTAAGTCGGCTACCACGAGTGGGTTAAGTATAGTCCTCGCACGACAATGCTCTACGCGCATTTCTCTTTATCTCTGGAGCGTGTCAATAAATAACTCCAAGTCACGTCTTCCCTCTTAAAGGGCTTCGATACTCGAATCTTCCAGTCTTACGTAGTGTTTCATCCAATCAGCACTCTTATATTTATAGTAACTTGTAACGTGGGAGTACCACCTTGTAACTCTTCCACTCGATCAAAGGTAAAAAACGCAGGGATATCAGAGTGCGCGGTCGTCAGAGATGCGATGGCGAAGCATCGAGTCACTGAGAATCTTTAGTAACTTGTCGATATTTTTCTATCCTTTTTGAGCGTCACAAGGCTTCGCAGCACCTTCGCGAATTCTTACGACCCACTTTTGCATCGAGATCAATGTGTAGCTAGAGACGCATCTTCGACATGTCTACGAGTTAATGGCCGTTTATTTTCTTTAGTCTCTCGTTACGTGGGGCGCGAGTGATGCCGAACCATGGTTCAGTGATAAGCCGATAAGACTATTCTTTCACATAGGTATTATATACACGTATTATATTGTCACAGGCTACGTTATTGCACAATAGAAACCCGATTCAGCAGGCTGCTCGAGACCAAAGGGTCTACGCGGATAACTGATATATCGCGGTTGATCCGAATCAAAACGTCACGACTTGTAGTTTCGACTGGCTAATCTAGGCTCTTAGTTAATGAATATTGTAATACCATAGGCAGTAGTAGAACCGTCGAACTCGTAGATATCTCCGTGTGACATGATTCTTCTCCAATCGCAACTTCTTCATTCTACTTTACAAGTAATATTCTCTTATTCGGTTAATTAATTTTATTGAAAAAAAAAGTCTTCTCCTCAGTGCTGCCTCTCAATACTTCGTTAGTAAGACGCCAACGGGCACTAGCTCTGCCATCTACCAACGAAGCTGCTGCTACGCGGGTAAAGATTTTTCATGCGTGGAAAGTCATTCTATAGTATCTCCAGTCGTACCGAGACGTACGTACCACGTTTCAACAGGATTGTCTACTGTGTGGATGATTTACACATCTGTCAAAGATCAACAAAACAATGCTGTTGAATTCACCTGAAGATTGGCAAGACATTTGATGTCGATAAGTAGTAAGTTATTGACTAAAACACAGCAGCGAGTGGAGAAAGAAGACGAGGAGGAGGAGGAGGAGGAGGTGGAGGAGGTGGAGGAGGTGGCGGGGGAGGGGGGAATAGAAGGAGACCAAGTTATAGTAATGAAACGAGAACGGAATCAACAAAGTGCCCCGGGAGAACAAGTAGTCAGAGTGGCGGTGAAGTCGAGCAAAGAACTTTTCTATCAGCGACTCGCAACACAATTAAAAAGATTGCGCAACTTTCATCGAAGTAATTCGCGGGCCGACGTTGTCATTGCCGTTTGTCTTCCAATCAACGAATGGTATTCCCCTCTTTCTCCCTCTGCTTCTTCTCTCAGCACCTTTCCACACAACTATTGTCATATGATGTTCTTCTCCGAGCGTATACGTAGACACCCTCTCTATATGCTTATCCACTAGCGACGAAAGCTCTTTCGTTATCTCTGATGGATCACCGAAGAAAAGCGTAAAGTCCAGATTGACTGAAAGAAGGAAAGAATAAAAAAGAAAGAGAAGAGGTTAGAGAGCTAGTCTTGCGAGAAAAGAGATACGTAAATATTCTAATTTGCCAATGAGCAACGACGGCCTTTACAATCGGACGACCTCCCCGCGAAAGCAGAATAACGCTATTATGAAACCTCCAAAGCTCCGGGAATGCAGCCCTCTAACTGCCAAAGAGTAAAGCACTTTGGAGGTTGGCTCGAACTCTCGACTGGACTAAGTTGAGGCTCCGTAACGGGCCAGAGATCCAGTAAAAGAAAGCGACGTGTCGCTTGATTTGTTGGTTAACTCGAAGCGATCGTTAATGCATATAACGCTGCTGGCACACGAAAATCTAACGGACCAGTCCGGTCGCATTTAAACAATTGGAAATTACGCATGAGCCAAATTGACCTCAATGAGAAGTGGAAAATTCTCTCCGCGTGAACTTACTTAGTTTCACGCTAACTCGCGACTGACCGTCCTGTTTACAGCGCAGTAGCATTAAGAGCTGCAACAGTATTGTCCCGATTCTCGCTAAACGAAGGAATCGTGGCAAACTAGTAAGAGGCAGATATCTTTACGCGCGACGCGTGTCTTCGTATTCTTTTTGCCGATCCACAAGAACAGCCACCCACGTCACGAGTCCACGTGTCTCAGAATCGGCAGAAACGGACGGGACTGACTGAATGCACGCGAATCCATGCGATCGAAGTTTCCCCAAATATCAGCGGATCGATCGGAGGGAGCCGCGATGGTAGGGTCACGTTACCAGTGATTACGGTGCGCGGGGGGCAACTTGCTTGCTACCATTTGCATAAGAATTAACGACGAGCTATAACAATAGTGCGAGACGAAGAAGCGTGTCATGTCATAGTGAGAGCGTGGGGCGTGAACGAGGAAACCAAATGCAATTATAACAACGTTAAAGACGTAGCTCTGCACCTCTGCGTATCCTGCAGAGATATCCTGCCCCCCCCCCCCCCCCCCCCCCC